ATAGAGGCAGCTTCCTCTTAATTGAGGTTATTTATAATGGATTAAAAGACAAAGCCATCATTTCACCCCTTCTCAGATACTGCACTGATTCAATAGCTTCATCCGTTTCTCTATGTACAACATTATAACTGATGCAAAACATATATTCTACAGGTTCTAAGGGAGCATGGACAAAGGTTTCTTGTTGGCAGTCAGATGAGCCTTGCAGATGTGATACTACTCCAAACCATTCTGGCTCTAGAGGAGAAAATTCCCAATATCCTGTCTTCATTTCCTCACCTCCAGGTAAATGAAACCACATATTAGAAGACTGGCCCAGAACTTCTAAGAGGTTGTCAGTCTTCCTTTCTCTCTCTCTCTCTCTGTCTGTGTAATTTTTTTAGTTTCTAGTTGGTAAAATGAAATGAAGGTACAGACTTGAAATTGTTTTTCTGCTCCCCAAATCTTTAGAGCTGAAAGGTCATTTACATGTGAAAGAAGCTTTATCTTAGTTTTGTTCCATAACTGCACTCTTGGGACAAACTCCATACACACTTCGCCAATAAGGACTTGCCATAGAGGTAATCGCGTGGACGAGGCGCTCCTCATCTGTTCCTGATGAGCGTACTGACAGAAGGGCTTGAGCGTCAGCATCAAAAACAGTCCCATCATCAGGGCATGGCTCCCATTCTCAGAAGTGATGTGTTCTCAGGTTGGAAATACCCAAGCCTTAGTTCTGAGAGGTAACAAGGAGCACCCTAAATATCATCCAAAGAGTTTCCATCATTCTCCTTTCCAGAAATTCCAAGGAAAGACCTGTGTGTGGCTCAGCATTCTCCTCACTATTATTCTGGCGTAGATATAAATGGTCTCTTGCCTGTAGAATAAAGGGCTTTAAAAAAAATTAATCTCATCCAATGCCTTCAATATACACATGAGAAAATAGCCATGGTAAATAAGTAAGCAGCTGAGATGGCCCAGCTAGTGGACCCCTGAGATTTGCCTAGAACCTTAGACTATTATCTGCAAGTCCAATGGGCTTTCCTCTACACTGGGGGTTGGCAAAATATAACCCCCCGCCCCAGACCAAATCCGTCCTGCCACCTGTTTTTGTATCGTCCTTGAGCCAAGAATGGTTTTTACATTTTTAAATGGTTAGGAAAAAAATGTCCAAAGAATATTTTATGACACATGAAATTATGTGAAGTGCAAATTTCAGTGTCCATAGATAAGTTATTGGCACAAAGCCACGCCCATTCATTTATGCGTTGTCTGTGGCTGCTTCTGTGCTACCATGGCAGAGCTGAGCAGTTCTAATAGAGATCATATGTCCTGCAATGCCGAAAATAGCGACTAACTGGTCCTTTATAGACAGAGGTTGTCAGTCCCTGATATAGACCACACTGATGTATCTTTGACCAAGTTATCAAAATCCAAAAGAGGCATGCACTTAATATCCAAAGAATAACACACATACTTAAAAAAATAATAATTTATCTAAGTCCAATAAACATCATTTTGGTATACTAATGAGGACAACCACCACCAGTTAAATGCATACACCCAGAACATGAGAATAAAAATCTTCAACAAGGCAAATAGCCATTATATAGTTTAGCTATCTGTTTATTTCTTCGTGAAGATACAGAGATGGTTGTTTAATTTGACTTTAGTAACAATAAGTCCGTGAAATAGCTCAGGGGTCTACTGGTATTTTCCATCCGTGATGTTAATAACTTGTTTTTAAACCCCAGGCACATCTGTGTAAATATAATTTTAATCTCTGGTCAGATCAAGCATTTATATTAAAGGACTTCAGAATCTAGCACCAGATCTGAGTTGAATTAAAGGGTCATTCCTGCATTAATTAAAGTGTTAAAAAAAATGTCGAGTCACAAAAGTTTTATTATACATGACAAATATGGACCACAGGTAAATCTTGAATGAAAAATCTTATGGAATAAGCCCCTAAATATTCATATAATATTCAAAATTAAATAATACAAATAGTTCAAGTCACAAAAAGATCATCGTATTTACGTAGCACTAATTGACACAATTATTAGTTTTTGTTAGTATTAGTGATATATATGTATGGTTATGTGTGTGTGCATGTTTAATTAAGGCTGTGCTTTGTATATAATATACATTTAAAGTAGTAGCTTTTTAAAAGACCTCTTTGAAAGATTTTATTAGAATAATTACTCGTACATATGATGGATATACACTTCATATAGCTCAAATTTTTCACTAGATCAAATAGACTTTTACTCTCAATTACTGAGAATTGGTAAGATTTGACTCTATGAATGAAAAATATGATATTTTTCTTCCATTTCAGTTTATGTAAATATCTGGTATCTGAGCCTCAAGCTACAAAAAATCCAATTGACCATCTCCCACACATAGCCAGAAGGACAATTCATTTGCTATTAGAAGTAAAAAAGTGCAAGGAAGCTGAATCTTAAAATGTAAATTGTACCATCTGATGACTTTTTAAAGCACTTTTATTTAAATGACTCCTGCATTTTCTCTGAGCAAATCAATATGTTTAAGGCACCTCTCATGTCTTTTTCTTTCTTTTTTCTCTTTAAGCAAGTATCAAAATCCTTTTCTAAGTATCTTTTTTTATTTTGATATCTGTGAAAAAACTTTACATCTTGATGTGGACCATGAGATTTTGCATAAAGCCTTGTCTAGATTCCAGCTATTGTTGGCAAAGATTGTAAATAACCGTTCCAAGGGATCAGACCCTAGACAGATGCTGGATTATGGTTCTGATTGGTTCCCGGCAACGAATATTTATTGAACAAATTTTGATGGGCCATTTTGAACAGCCATAGTTTCATAGCAGCTAATACCGTCGCTGTTAACCTTGAACTTTTGTGTTTTCCTTTTTCAGGAGTACACAGTGAAAATGAGTAATATTCCTACAATCAAGAAATTCCTTGAACCTGGCAGTAAGAAGAAGCCTCCTCCGGATGAAATCTACGTGAGAACCGTCTACAACATCTTTATGCCATAAAAAACATGTACATCTGTGAATGAGAGGTCGCCCCTAGAAATGGCTGTGTCCACAATAGTATCTTAATTGATGCCAGGCTACCCTGATCCCAGCTCTGTCATGGTGCTATATATAGTTGTTCCTAAGTTGGGTCTTTCATGTCAATGAGATCTCTTCTAGAATCACAGACACTTCTTTTCCAGTGAATAATTGTTATGTGACCTTTTTCTGAAAACCTTTTAGGAGAGGCTGGCATTTCAGTTAGATCTGATCTAAACTCATGGCCTGATAACAGGGACAGGCAGGACCTCATGTTCTCTGAGCTTCTTCTCTCCTCCCACTCTAAACCCTCTCTGGTCTCTTCCCAATTTTTAGTGTCTAATAACAGCAGAATATCTAGTGAACAACTCTCCTCTGAGCTATTATAAATCCATGGTAGTAATGAATGCAGTCAATTATTAGCCAAAATAAAGAATTTACAAATCATTGCCCTGTTGCTAGAATTTTTTTAATTAAGTTGTTTGGAATATATAATAGAGCCACATGGTTCAAAAAAGTATAAAAGGCAATACAGTTGGAAGTGTTTTCAGCCCTGCCCAGCCCCAGCTATCTAGCTCTGCTCCCCACAGGCAAACATAATTATCATTTATTTATCTTTCCAGTTATACATGACACATGTATAAGAAACTATACATATGTTACTTGTATCTTCTTACTACTCAAATGGTTATTTATAGGCTGCTAATTTTTGGCATTTCAGAACTAAAAGGGTGGTTTATTCATACTGCTTTAAACATGTGCTGATTTATATCAAATATTAATTGAGCACCTATCATGTGCCAGGCAAAACCCTAGTACAGAGTCCCCCTGATCTAGAAAAATTGACTATACAGTAGGGGAAGTAGATGTATAAACAACAGAAGTAATTTTGGAGAAGGAAGAATTGCTGCTTTCGGAGTATCTAATACTCAGAAATTTAAAAAGCAAGGAAAAGCAAGTTTTTGAGGAGGGGCTTATAGAAAGGACACACTCATCCTTGTACCACAGGAGGGGTTTTTTGCTTAAATGGAAAAAAGCAAAAACACAGGCATGAGGTGATCATGAATGCCTGTCACACTCATTGCAAGCCCCTCGGTGTGCCCCTCGGTGTTTTATGAGAGGAAAATCAAGCGCAGACATCCAGGTAGTTATTTGTCTTCCTGCTTTCACAAAGTGAGCGTTCTGTCACCACTCTAATCTTTAGAACTGCTGGAAAAGCTAGGATGTGTGTAGCACTGGGGCAGGCCTGAAGACCCATGATGACCCAGGCCACTGTTTCTGAGGAGGTGGCCCAGGCACTAACCAGCATCCTGAGGATAAGGCCAACAATAATGAGGGAATAATAATGAGGGAATGTGTGGTAAAAAGAATGAGGGAATGTGTGGTAAAAAGAATCGCCCCTCCCAAAGTCCAGATTGAAGACAGGTCTGATCTTTGCTCCTGGAAGGTGATCTCTAAGCCCTTGGAATGCTGCATGGGAGTGTCTTTGTTTGCCTGGGGGCCTTGGGCCAACCAGATAGGAACAATGTGATTTAGGATGAGAGCTTTGAGCCACACCAACAATGCAATGTAGGGGGGGAGGGGAGGAGCTTTGGGTATTGAGGTGTCAGCTCAGCTCTGGAGGGGCTGGAGATAGATCAGCCACATGGGCAGTCAATCATGCCCATGTGATGGAGCCCCAATAAAAACTCTGGACTTATGGCTTGGGTGGGCTTCCCTGGTGAACCATACTTCATTGTCACACGTGGTTGCCAGGAGGAGTTAATGCCATAATGCCGCCCACGACTCCACAGAAAGGACATCTGGAAGCTCCGTGTTTGGAAGCCTCCCGGACTCTGCCCTGTGCACCTCTTTCCCGGGTTGATTTTCACCTGTATCCTCTCCCTATAATAAACCGCAGCCTTGAGTATAACAGCTTTTAATGAGTCCTCTGAGTCCTTCTAATGGGTTGTTGAGCCTGAGGGTGTTTTTTTGGGTACTGCCTTGAACTTGCAGTTGGTGTCAGAGTGAGGGTGGTCTTTTGACCTGCTCCTCCTAAACTCTTCAGGGAGGAGAAACATTTTACACTCACTTGCAGATTAATTTTCACATGAGAACCAGACACAGACTTGAGAACTCTAAGGGATCTTTATTATTGAGTTTTGTGGGATGACCGCAAATTTGGGCTATTTCATACTACCATTTTCGTGTGATTTTACTATCCAGTGCTATTGTCTGATAATATTAATCGAGAGCCTGCTGTGTAGACTTTAAGCCATTTTTGCAAACATTGCTCTTTTGTCTGACACACGGGATCCTCAATGCTGGTTCTTTGAAGAAACAATCAAGGAGGAAGGTTGGCTTCTGTGCTGAATTAGAGGCTTAGAGAAAATAAATTCAAGAGACCAAGGTGTCTCCAAAGATGATAGGCTCTCATGTCTTTCCGGCTTATGGTTGGTTACATGACCTTACATTGTACAAGTCGCTTCCCGTATTGGAAACAAGTTCCGCTCTTCCCCCATCCTGCCTCCAGTGGCATCACCCTGGTTGGTCACAATCCCCTTTTGGTCCAGACCTCCTACTCTGTAGTCTCGACTCCCTCCTCTCCTCTCATTTTCATGAGCCACCAGACTCTGGTAATAGAGTAGGAGGAAGTCAGGCATTGGATCGTTTGTCCTAAAAAATATCAATGTGCTGGAATGTTCAGGGCTGAACCCAAACACATGAGCCTGGGAGCACAAGCAGAGAGGTGACAGGAGGCTCACCTACTAGAATCCATGGCAGATGAACCAACGGGGTTAAAATGCACAGCCACCTACAGATGTGGTGGCTGCAGAGGCTCTGATGCCTGGAGCAAAAGGGGAAAGCTGGACAGTGTGGGGCTCTGGTGTCTCTGACCAAAGAGGAGGTTCAGCATTTACTGAGGCGGGGCCCAGCATAAGCCACTCTGGCTTTGGCAGCCTGGGTGGCAGAGGGAAAACCTGGCTACTTCAGCCTGGGGGCAGACTCCTGGGTGGCCCCAAACAGAGCAGAGAGTGAGTCCTAGAGAGCTGGGTCTGCAATAAACAACCACCAGTGTGCATGTTTGTATTTGCTGGTGTTCCCACTTTGTTGAATATGCTTTTTATTCCCTTATTCAAATAGTCTGCCCAGAAAATTGCATGGTGAATTTCTCCTTGTTCTGTCAGTGCAAACATCCCCACCTAAGGGAGTCTCTTTCTAACCACGAGACCCAAAACCTTTCTCTCACCATCCTGTTTGATTTTCTTCAGCGCACTTAATACCCTCTCGCAATGTTATGTGTTGAACAAATCTCTGTCTTTATAGTTAAAGTGAGTTTCTTATAGAAAACATAACTGGGTCTCATTTGTTTTGATCCATTCCCCTGTGTTTGAATTGGTGTGTTTAAGACCACTCACATTTAAAATCAATATTGATGTGGTTGGATTAATATCTACCATGTTCGTAACTGCTTTCTGTTTGTTCTCCTTGTTCTTTGCTTCTTTTTCCTTTTTCTTTTGTGTTCTCCTCTTTTTCTGCTTTCTCTGGCTTTAAGTGAGCATTTTGTATCATTCTATTTTCTTTCCTCTCACAGCATGTTAATTATAAAACTTTTTAAAAAAGTTTTGCTTGGCTAAGTTGAGGGAGACTCAGATATGGTACAAGCTGGGTGCGAGGAGGGCTCAACGAGGGAACAGTGGCTTCTGCCAGCACTTCTTCTATATGGGAGAAAGGGGCCCCTCCTGCACTGGCCCTAAGCCAAGTGGCTTGGTTCCTGATTTCTCCACATATGTCCGTAGAGCCTTTTTGGACTGCTGCTCTAACGCTGGAGCTCAGAGCCAGTGATCCTATCAGCAACAAGTTAATGACTTATTATTACAAGATTATGAGTTAAAGTATTGTGATGTGGACAGAAATAAGCGAACAGGTAGAAGATTTCAGAGCCAGCATGCGATTCACTGCTCACTTTTCTTCCTGCTAAAGTAATTGAGAAAGATGACAACTTCTTTCAACTTAGGTCCCAGAGCGACGATGATGAGCAAAGCCTCCTTCTTTCCTTTCTACCTTTCAGCATGGGATATGCTGAACAACAACAGTAAAACACACCCTTTGGTTTTGTTAAGTCATTGAGACTGTGGAGCTGTTGTCGGAGAGTGGGCCCCTCTCGGCGCAAAGTCCAGGTCCTTGGCAACTCGAGCAAAGAATTGAGCGAGATGCCGGAGTAAAGTAACTGAAGAAGTACTTTATTGGAAGAGATAGTACATTTCAAAGAAGTAAAGTAGGCCTGAGCAGTAGAGAATGGCTCAAGGGCCCATTATTAGAAGAGAAATTACATTCCAAAGAGTTTGGAGCGGGCCACGCGCAAAGGTGAGGCTGAAAAGGCTCAAAAAGGAAGAAGCGGTCAAAAGAGCAGGGCGTCCAAAAAGGGGGAAAAAAAAGGTCGGACTTCCCAGGACTTGGGGGGTTTATCCCTTCTCTAGAATGGGTTGTTCTCCTAAAGGTGTGGGACCACTTGATTGACACCTGTGATTGACAAGAGGTCCTGCAAAGGTGCGAGTGACTGGTCTGATCTAGTTGGGTAGTATTTTGTGCCCATTTGTTTTCCCACAGGGATAGGTAATTACACAAAGAGGGAGTTTCGGGTGGAGATGTGGCAGTGGGCCCTAGACAAAGGCCTTCCCAGATCATGTGGTCACTAAGGATTTCGTGCGGGCTTCAGACAAAGACATTCCTGGACTATATGGTCAGCAAGACTTGCGCGTTTAATATTTCCAAATTCCTACCTCACCCAGGAGCCAGTCAGGAACTGGCACAATAACCACATGTTCTAATAATAAATCTTAGCTGCCAACCTGGAAACTTCAGGGTAAATAGCCCCAGTCCCACCCGGGTCGAGGCTCAGCCTCTGGATGTGAATCCGCTGAGCCA